TCAAAATAGAACCCATATCAATATATGACGTACTGTATCATCAAAATAGAACCCATATCAATATATAACTGCTGTATAATCAAAATAGAACCCATATCAATATATGACGTACTGTATCATCAAAATAGAACCCATATCAATATATAACTGCTGTATAATCAAAATAGAACCCATATCAATATATAACCTGCTGTATAATCAAAATGGAACCCATATCAATATATAACCTGCTGTATAATCAAAATAGAACCCATATCAATATATAACCTGCTGTATAATCACAATGGAACCCATATCAATATATAACCTGCTGTATAATCAAAATAGAACCCATATCAATATATAACCTGCTGTATAATCAAAATGGAACTCATATCAATATATAACCTGCTGTATAATCAAAATGGAACCCATATCAATATATAACCTGCTGTATAATCAAAATGGAGCCCATATGACCTGTATACACCATATTGAGCCCATATTGAACTTGTGAATTGTATACAACGACTTGCATCATGGCTTGCTGTATATCTTGCATATATATGGAACTCATATCAAAACAAGACAAACGTACTGTATACTGTATGTCACATAGGAAAGCTGAACCCATATCAAACACAAAATAGTCATACAAATTGCAAACACATCTGACATAAAAAAGTAACGATTTATAAGTAATATAAAATGGGAAACTATAATATTCAGACTTGTCTGGATAACAATCTTTCAACATACTCAGCTGTAAGTCCAGTCCTGTTATATAGTGAGTACTATCAAATTGTCTGCATTGATCCTTGCCGTTCATTCACCCATGATGAATACATGAAAGATGTACCGTCTAAAACATGATGGCAGCAGTGAGATTGCAATCTATTGTGATCTAGTCAAGCATGCATGCATATACAGTATGTGAGTCACAGACATTAAAATGATATCACACTGCTTGCTTCATTCATTATATCCATATATATATACAAAAACAGATTGAGTCAGGAAATAGCGCTATAATAATGAATAGGCCATCAAATTTTAAATGTAGGTATGACTCTACGAAAAGGAAATGTTACCACTGAGGTTTTCAATTTTCTAGCAATTTGACTAATGCAGTTGAGCTCTCAAAACGGTGGTGACTTTTATTATACCGGGTACCTCAACTTCAAAATAAGAAAAGTGACAATCCATTTTGGCACCATTCTCTAGGATTGAAAGTCACAATATGATGAAAACATGTGATATTCAATATTGATGTTTGGCACTGCATATTGATGAATACATTGGATTACGATTTATCATGACATGAAAGCACTGTTCTTGTAGAACACATCTGAGTATTCATGTGATATCATGTTTTCTAGTATTTTTCTGCAGGTATTTGTTTAATAAAAAAGGTAAATATTAATTCACGATTTTGTGCAATATTTTGACAAGTAACATTTTAAATATCAACACTCACAGATACTGTAAACAACATAAATGTAAACAAACAATAATTATTTAATGGCCTAGATCTATACATGGACTTACACTACTGGGGCTTCCAAAACAAATGATTTCATTTAAATAAACCGCTTTAATTGCAGAAATGTTAGGGAAACTCCTGCAATTTTATAGCATTGACAACATCACTATGATTGTATAGGCAAGGAGGCACCGTGACAGACATGGAATATAGTGGATAAATTTATTGCATTTGCAAGGACAAAATTTAATAAAAATCAGAAATTTTCACTGTTATATGTATAAAATTTGACTATTTTCACTACGTTGAAATTAGGGAAAACTTGTCTCTCATAAAAATTTAAATCACAAAAAGTACAATACCTAACAAGATTACATACAAAACAAACAAAAAAAACAAACATTTTATTTTATAGAGAAATACAAGCAGCCAGTCGGCTGAGATAGCTCCGCTGTTAGCAATGCACATTTCAAATAAAGAACAAAAAATATCATTAGAAAATGAACAATATGTATAGTATCAAAGCAATCGGACTTGCTGTTTTCAAGAATTCAAAAATATCACTTTTCACCAAAAATTAAAAAAATAATCATCAAAATTAGATAATTGAAGATATCACCATGTAGTACCTATATATGTAATATAAAAACAATCAAACTTGTGGTTTTCAACAAGAAGTCGAAAATATCACTTTTTACCGAAAATGACAAAAATATTAAGCAAAATTAGAGAATTGAAGATATCATCATGAAATGAACAAATCTGTAAGTGGTCCACATGTAGTACCTATATATGCAATATCAAAGCAATTGGACTTGCTTGTGGTTTTTAACAAGAAGTCGAAAATATCACTTTTTAGCAAAAATGACAGAAATATTCACCAAAATTAGAGAATTAAAGATATCATCATGAAATGAACAAATCTGAAAGAGGTCCACATGTAGTACCTATATATGTAATATCAAAGCAATCGAACTTGTCGTTTCTAACAAGAAGTTGAAAATATCACTTTTTACCAAAAATAACAAAAATATTCATCAAAATTAGAGAATTTGAGATTTTGACATGAAATGAACAAATCTGAGAAAAAACCATCCAAGGTACTTGGTGGTATGAACAGCTCAACCACAATTGAGTGCGTGCCCAGACAGAAAGAGGATATTAAATGTGGATGCCTATACAGAATACACATCATGCATTTAGTTATTCATGGGAACCATTGATTATGACAAAGAAGTAAGTGAACAAAATCTAATTAGTGACAGATGTATTTATAACTGTTAATATGTAATTTACCAAGGGCTTTCTCTGGCAATAAACATTCTTGAATTACACAACAAATCACTGAAAACTGCAGGAAATATCGCTGTTGGGTTAGAAATGTCTTGATCTTGATTCAGACAACCAATACAACCGACTGGCAATGCCTATTGTTTAAGCTTTAAAGGTGTTAATCGGCTTAATTCTATATGCTATGTGCGCCTCGCTCAGTTGTATTGACATACAATGTAGCACCGTCAAAATTCACTAAACAGCATATATTCTGCACACTTCGCATATTTCTTCGTAAAACGAATCCAGATATTTTAAAACAATGGGAGATACGTTCAGGACATTTTGGACCTTTGCAGCTGTGTACGATTTTTAAGAATCAGCCAGCATTTAGGTGTGTTACAAGTAACTGAATGTCTTAGTATATACCTCAAATAGTTTTTGAATATATAATGAACAACTTCGAAATGATATTTCTTACTGTTGAAGGTTTTCAATATTTTTTTTTGGTAAGGACATTTTACTGCGTTTCAAGCGATCATACCACTTTGGATGTCAATACAAATGTACATGTAGTTTTGTTTTTGCGTTCAGGATTACTGATACATGGGATAGCGGGTGTCATATACATGATACAATGTATCAGCGTAATCTGGTTAAAGGTAAAAACTGGGGGTCCGACTTCATAGTATGCGATATACACGTAGTTCAGTGACTAATTAAATAGTCAATAGTGTGTCAGTATTGTTGCTATTTTGGAGTTTCACTAATTTTGTTTGACTTCCGCCATAGTTTTGTATAAAAATAGCCCACTATATTTCTATTTATTCTGAATTTCAGAAAATGGAAAACATACACAAAAATAAATTATCAATGATTTGTTGAATTTGTGGTGAGCGAAGTAAAAAATAACAGAAAATTCAAGCTACTGTAAAACATATTGAAAAAGCGGCATGCAATTTTAGCGAATTGTGGTAAAATGGTAATGGGTAATAGCGAAATTTTGATTTTAATAGCGAATCCTTCTTGTCATTGTTGATATTTTTGTTTGGCAGCCATTTTGAATTGACAAAAAAGTCATTAGTGACATATTAAATTGGCGAATCAGTTCCCTCACTAAATTAGCGAAAAAGACAGTTTTACAGTATTTACTTCAGTGTCTTCTCACATACAGGACAAACGAAAAAGGAACTCTGCAACTTTGAGGCTTCGATCACAAGATCGCACAGGGGATCTAAAGAGAAATTATCATTATCTGTGTCAATGTTCTCATCAAAATGTTCTCCTAAAATAGCTTCCAAGTCATAACTATCGTTGTCAGATTTGCCAAATTCTTCTGTAAATGCCATTTTTGAAGTACGCTGTGGTTACTGTCGTCTATGTCACTTCCTGTGTTTATGTACGTCCCAAAATGTATCGCGATAGTTGATTGGAATATGAATAGATCTCGCGTTATTTTTTGAGATCTAATGATAATCTTGTTGCTCTGCAACGTTTACTAGATAAGATAAGAAACTCGGCATGCATTACTTCAATAGAAAATGCTGCGCGTTGCCAGTCTGTTGTATTGGTTGTCTGAGTCTGCACAGGTTGTCCTCATTTTATCTTTTTCACAGTCTGTACTGTGATGTATCATTACGTCAGTTTTATTTTTTAGTGAGATCTTGTAATAGACCATTTTCCGTTCACTGCGAGAATCACGCGTTATGCAGGAAATTGAACGTAAAAACAGGACAAACAAAGGTCATAGCGTCGTAGTGGCGTCAAACATCGCGTGGGATTCGACAAACGCGAAAATATTTTGGGGGACATTTCCATGCTTAATAATGTGCTGTCCACATTTGATGATAGGCAATTTCGATTAAGTGAGGGTATTCAGAAGCAATATTCCTCTGTCGAAGATCGGTCAGTCGATGTGAGCTACGAAATAAAGAAATTCGAGTTAAAAATCAAATCATTCGATTTTTACGGCAGACGTTCGACGCATGTCTTTCATGCATCTCGCAAGATCTCGCAATTGGACGGAAATCACCTATTATGACAAACTCTATAGTACCGGGTAACTGCTCACAAACCTTTATAATCTAGCTACTATCAGCTGTTCAGGTTCACTTTTCATACAGTGTATGAAAAAATATATTATTTAGAAATGCTCTAACCAAATTCAGGATTTCAGCCAATCAGTTACCAGTCAAAAAAGGTCGACATAGAGGCATTAAAAGAAAAGACAGATTCTGTCATCTGTGTAAACTGTAATGAAGTTGGTGATAAAAAACATTACCTTTTCAGATGTAACAATGACAAAATTAGGGAATTAAGAAATTAAGTTCTGATCTTTTTATTTGTAGTAGTCCAGCAAAATTTGTTTTTCATGTTTTAGAATTGTTTTAACTTATTTTGTTTGTGTTATTTTGGACTTTAAACTAGCTCTGTATTGTGTACGTGCCAAATAAAATATCTTATCCTATCCTATCCTATCCTATCCTATTACCCA